TAATTATACCGAATCGATACATTGTGGACTCAACGAAATAATGCAAGAAATTGGTCATGACATTATTAACATTAGTTATCATCAGTTTAATATATTTTATAGTTTTTTTATCAGATTTATCTAATAAAATATTTTTACTATACTGTCGCAAAAATATTATAAATTTTTTTTGATGTTTTTTGTTTTCCGGATTTACGTTTCAACACTATTTCATTAGCATATTACTGCATTTTCATAAATTTGTAGCCGTAAACTGTTATATAATTGTAATTTTTATTTTGCACAAAAGTGACTGATTAAAATTTCCCACATTATACCAAATGAATAAATATTAGATTCTCGTCTTTTGCCAACTCAAAACCTCTGTGTTTCACAGAAAGTATCTTTGAATACTCTGATATAAGATTGGTTGGTATGGTGGTAGCTGTTATGGAAGGGCATTTTTAACTTACTTTCGGTCTATAATGAAATCATAGAGATAATGCTTTCCAATATATAATTTAAATAAAAATTAAAACGGCGTACTTATGAATTTGTTTTGTTAAGCTGTTTAGCATATTGGTAATTTCAAGCATTTTTAGAATTAAAATTGTATTTTTATAGAAGTTAAATGTAAATGAAAGACTTCAAAAGATAAAAAAAAAAGATAAAATTTATTTTAGATTTCATATTTCAAGAAACAAACTACCAAAATACAAATATAAGAATAATAGTCTAAAATTTATAGATTAAGCGTGAGTAAAATATTTATCTATATAATATAATTTAATAAAAAAATTATTATCCTAAGAACATGTTATATAAACTCATTTTAAATAATTTAATTTGAATATAAATTCGAGGATTTGCTCCCAATTTCTACAATACTAATCAGCTTACTGATATATTCGGAAAATTTTTGGGTGTCATATAACTTGCTAGTATACATTTCTTGTGAATGTATTTGTTTAATCGGTTCTGGTTTAATGTTATTAGCTTCTAAAATTTGTTTTTTAATTTCATTATCATCATCTTGATCCATTTCATTTAACCAACGTGTGATTATTTCAATAATTTCTGTTGCAATAGGTCGTTTATCAATATTTTTATCCATACATTTCATAGCTAATTTAACATAACAATCTGGTCCAAAACATTTAGGTCTCAATCCATCGATAATTCTTAATGCAAGATAATCATCAAACGAAATTCCGTCAAATGCTCTTTGTCCGCTCGATATCTCTATCGCAATAACTCCAAGGCTATAAATATCTGATGCTTGAGTATATGGTTGACCCTCTAAAATCTCAGGTGCTATATACGGCAGGATTCCACAAATTTTTCCTTCCTTTACTTTTTTAGAAAGCCCAAGATCAGTAATATATGCGTAATGCAAACTATCTCCTTGCAAAATGTTTCCGCTGTGTAAATCTCTGTGAACGAGTTCCTGTGAATGAATTGACTCTAGATCCAAAGCTATATAGTACAAAATATTCAGTTTATCTTTCCATTCTAATTGTGAAACTTCTACAAGATTTTGCCGTAACGAACCATTTGTTGCAGCCGCCATAACAATTATATAATTACCATAATTATTTCTTGACACTCCAAAACAATTCAAGAACGAAGGATTCTCGTAGCCAATTTCACAGTAATTCTTCAATTCCTGGACAAATTCTTGCACATTTACGTTTGAATCACAAACAACTTTAAGTACAACATCGCCCACCTTATTATTGATTCTGTCAATCCAAGTTGCACTATATACAGTTGCGAATCCTCCTTTTCCAATTTCATTGATATCTCTAAATTCATCATAATCAATCCAAGATAATTTAAATCTCTCATCATCTAATATTCTCTTAAGTTCAGAATTGACATTATCTGGTGATTTATTAGTTTTCGAAAAACTTCTATATTTTCCAAACCAATAATTTGCCTTATGGATATCTCTATTTGTACCGATGCCATTTCGATAACAATTAGCAACATTTCTCATGGCTGCAACATCGCCCATATTAGCGGATTTTTTATAGCATTCAAATGCTTTATTATAATCTTTACCAACGACTTCTCCACATTGATAATAAATACCAACCCAATTTATTGCACCAGCATCATCCAAGTCAGCAGATTTCTTATAATATTCAAAGGCCTTCTTTTCGTCTTTCTTAACACCAATACCAATATTATAACAACTACCAACATCATAAATTGCATCCGAATTTCCTAACTCAGCTGCTTTCATAAAATATTCAAAAACCTTTTTTTCATCTTTCATAACACTAATACCATCTAAATAACAAAGACCAACATAATACATCGCATCCGAATTTCCTAACTTGGCTGCTTTCATAGAATATTCAAAGGCCTTTTTTTCGTCTTTATTTACACCAAAACCAGCTCTATAACAAATGCCTACATCATGAATCGCATCCGAATTTCCTAACTCAGCTGCTTTCATATAATATTTAAAAGCCTTCTTTTCATCTTTTTTAACGCCATTACCGTTTTCATAATTGAGACCAAGTGAGCGAAGTTGTTTAGAGTCTTTTTTTTTTTTAAAGAGTGAAAAAATATTCATGTTTTGTAAGATACGTATTAATTGTCCGAATGTAACAGAGGATATTTAAATTTAGTTAAAGTGATACAAGGGAGTAACGTTTTTGATTTGTTCATTAATTTTGACTCGTATTAACATATTTTAATTTTAGTGTTACAAAACCAAAATTATATGGAGGGAAGTCACAATCCTATTCATTTTGCTGATAATTTGCTATAAACTTAATTAGCGTTGATCCGGCCCAGCTTCGATGCATTTGCCCGAAATTTTAGGGATTGCGAGACGTCAAGAAATTATAACAAAATTCAACTACAAGTAGTGAATATATTGTAAAGTGGTGTTTCGTAAATATAATCATCATTAATAAACTGCATTTTATTTTACTGAAGGCTACTAAAAACCTTAATTATCGATTTTAATGTTAAATACTGTAATATGTTTAGCATTGGTGCATATGACAAGAGAATTTCATCATGTCAAACATAGAACTTTTTTAAATATCATAATATTCAGCCTCATGAACTTTCATTAAATCAATTTAAGTGAGTAAAAATATAGTTTAAAATTTTGCGGCACAAAAATCTTGCATAAGTGATTCGCCTTCTTATCGACTAAAAGATTACGACATGTCAAAGATAATTTGGTTGAAATCCAAATACATCAATTGATAAATTAATAATATTTGTAATTGACCAAGAGAATTCTTGAAAAGATATTTACTTTTAATTTTCTCACTACTTTATCAATAATGTACAGTACGTATATTAGATATTTTAATTTTCCTATTGGCAAGTAGATTTATGGATTGTAAATAATGACGCATTCTTGATACACGTTTTATTTAAACTAAAGTAGGTAAGTTCGTGTAGGTTTAATTAAAATTTTGTCTAGATATTAATAGAATTTCATATTACTATAAAAAAAAGTCGCTTTGGGTATTGCACAAGTTACATGCGGAATATTGCGGTTGATAATTTAAAACAATAGCTATAAAAACTAGTTATAATATGTGTACAAACATTTAATCTTGAAAAAAGGATAAGCAACAAGCAAACATGAATAAAGCAGGAATTTTGCTATCTAGTGATGTTTAATAATGTAATGCTGGATACTGGTGTTTTTGTTCATGCTAACGAAATAATGAGAAGAAGCTATATGAGTCATGCTATTGTTTATATATTCGGAAATAATTATTCAAGTTTTTTTCACGCGATATTTTGTTATGGTCTTTATCAACTATAAGCTCTGTAAAAATTCCGCCGAAAAAAAAAGTAATAAAAAAAATAGAAGAGTATAAATAAAAAAAATTGTTAAAATCTAATCCACTGGTACTGTATCATAAATAGAAAAATAAGTTAGTCAAAATTATAATTCGTTAGCCAATAAATTTACCTTGATACATTTAATAAATTCATCCCATTCATTTTTACGAAAATTTTCAAGCCAGGTGATTCTAATGTCATCAACTAAATCAAAAGTTGTCCAATTATTATTTAATGCCTTAATCAATTCAGTTAAGCGTGGCCCAGCGAAATGAATGTACTAAGTTTTCGTCTAGAAATTTTTCCCAAATATAGAGGACTATTAATATGAATAAAATCATCAGATTCTTTCTTTCTTTTTTTATTTCCTTGCTCGTGTTGAATTTGAAATGAATTGTGATTTTTTTCATTTATATTTAAAAGTTTATGAAGCTTAATTTTTCCACAGAGAAGATCATAAACTTTAGTTGTTGACTTTTCCCCCTTTTTTAGATTTATAATTTTTTTTGCTGCCCATTTCTTTATCCATTCCTTCATCTCACGACATGCTTGCTCAAATGTATATAAAGATCTCAAAGACATACGTCTTTGAATTTCAGATTGCGAAAAAATATGAGCATTGTAATTTATGGCATGATAACATGTTCTCATAAGTTCATTAAAATTTGTCATTTGTATATTGATATCATTTGCTAAGTTATCGTCATCTATATGTACCGGTTTGAGGAACATCATTTTATTTGATTCGGTTAGCTCTTCTTGATTCAAATTAAAATTAATGGCACCATTAATTTTCGAAGGATCAAGTATTTTGGTTGAGTTTTGTTCATTTAGATAATTCTTAATGTTCTCGTAATACTTGATTTTTTTAACTTCAGAATTAGGGTCATAAAACGGTGCAGTCAAATAAATGCCAGGATCAGTTTGAAGAGGAATTCGAGCATCTATTTGAAGAAATTCACGGTATATATTTGCAACCTTAAGTTTATTACCCGCAAGGATGTCTTTTTTATTGCTAGTTATGATGCCATTTTCATATTCTGCATAAAACCCCATCGGATCATTTTTATCTTTATCAGTAAATTTGAATTCTGGATATTTAGCATCTTTGATATCCTCTGCCGTGAGACTTTTATTAACATGCCCAATCCTAATGCTTCTCTTGTTTCTTTTAAGTATTACTTCACCCTTTTCTGGATAAATTTCAATTTTTTCTAGTCTTGACCGAGAATTTACACACAATGATAAACTAATGTTAATAATGTCATGACCAATTTCTTGCATTATTTCGTTGAGTCCACAATGTATCGATTCGGTATAATTA